GCTGTCGAAACATAGTACATACTGCCTGAGCTGTTGTTTTACGGTGTCGCACAATTGAAGGTGGTAACGAGGATGACATAAAATGTAGACACTCGTGAACAATCTGAGGAAGTTTGCGTATAGTGGAGAGGGTAATGGGTCATGTAATACAACTGGACCCAAATACATAAGAAATAGCCGGCATTTAGTGGCCTTCCAAAACTGAAGAAACTCCAAGCTGCGACACTTCCTTTGGAAGTCCTTAGGAATTCAGCTTTCTGCAGCCTGTAGTCTTTCGTTAATACAAGCAATTGTTTCATTGCTTAATCCGAATTGGCGTTGTTTCGCCGAACGCAACCATATACCCAATTGCCGCCTAACAACACCTAAGCAGACTAAATGCATATAATCTAATGGAAAAATCTTAACCATATCAATTGGAAGTCTCTGAAATACTGATGTATCACGGTGGTAATCGGCATCTTCCTTACTCCTAAAGCTATTATCTGTCCTGCGACAGCTGTTAACATCCTTAAATACCATGCGCCGGTTTACATAGTTGCCAGTAACGCAACATCTGTCACAACCTTTCCTACTGTTATGACTCGCTGTAAAAGTGACGTCAGATCTTGCAGGCTTATCGCAGATAACACTGTTAAGCCGGGAGCCGATATGCCTCTCATTGATTTGTAAACCATGTGCATATAAGTGCTCCATGTCAGTTACAACTGGCAATAAAAAGTTATTGAAGTCAGACGGTTTATGAAAACCACCATAAACTCCAATAATAAATATATCACTAAGAAACGGTTTCACCAGTCGACCCAATATCGGCCAAATTTGCTGTGTACCATTGTTGAACAGTGACAATCCATCAACATTCAGCTGCAGATTAACGCAATCAAAAGATGCAAACTGACACCAACAACTCAGTATAGGCGTAAGTATACTTCGCAAACCAATATGATAGTAAACTTCACTACCAATAACAGTTGATGGGCATGACTGGCTAGTTTTGAGAATGTGTCTTATATTTGTTGGTAATCTTGGAATATGCCGTTTGAACAATCGCATAATCTTTCAACAATCAACAATGGATGTTTTAGTGGTCATCACAAGCTTTAAGGCAGTCGTCCTAAGTTCTGCCTTTGAATTGCGTTCTTTTGCCTTATCGGAACGTATCTCATGGGACAACAGAGCGCCCGCAGCATTACCTTATCAAATAGTCGTCACATGAAATACTAAGAAACCAACTTGGTAAAGTGATTTGCATGTCACTTAGCACGTTTACGACGCTACAAGAAGTTTCATCTACTAGACATTCACCAGCCTCGACTCTGAAATCGGGAAGTATCATCTTGGCTACGTCACCGAGCAACTCCGATTTCAATCTCTTAGTTCTTCTATACAATGTGGATCGGTAGCCTGTCTCTTTTTTGCAAACAAACCTAAAGCACAAGGCTATATTAATAATAATAATATAATAATAAATATATTAATAATATATAATAATGATATATATATATATATATATATCAATATCTCTGTAATAATATGCGTCACATATTATTACAGAGATGGAGTTAGTCTCTAGTATAATTTTGATTCTGATTTTCTTCTTTGTGTGAAGAGCGAGATGTTGAAGTGGTGAAATGTGTTGTTTTGTGTAAGTATTACAGCTGTAACACAAACAATTGTCGTCTTCAGTCATATCATGATTTTCGGTACTCACGTAACCCGAATGTACAATTTTGTGGCATTTCGAGTAAACATGGTGCAAGATAACTTCTACATCTAGGACATTTTGAGAGGGTTCGCACCTCTGGATAAATAGTGGTGTTTCGATGCATTTGAGCAAAATCGTCGTAAACTTGCGCATCTTTAATTTGTGTGAGGTATATATTGCTAATCTCTCTAATTTCCCTTATTCCTAATTCACAAGCGAGATTTCAAAATTCGGAAGGACATAAAAAATAATGATCGCGCCGCCCTCATACTGAACATAGTTATTCTGACATGGTCTGAATATCATTCATCTAAGTAATATTTCTTTTCCATAAGGAATAATCATGAGGTAACATATTCTGTCACAAAAGTGTCGTTACGCTCAACTTGGAGAATGATTCTTTTCACAGAGAAACTGGAAGATTTACTTCAATTTTACTATTCAGTTAGCCTAAGCAGCTTCCCACTAACTAGTCCATCTTCTTCAGGTATGAATCTGTCGGTAATTCTCCACTTAACACACTATGAAGGTCTATTTCTCACTCGTAAAACGGTGGTCTTTTTCTTAAAGGATTTTAAGTATGCTCTCGACACAACTAGCTTACAGTTTGAAACCTGTAAATTTATGGCAATCGATAGAGGAGGGAATATAATCTGGAAACGTGGGCACATGCACGTCGATGTCTAAAAAGCTGACAAATGTGTGGTGCATTCTGGAAAGGCAGTGGTATGAGTTGTTGAGCAATATGTGTTACATTCGTCAGAAGAAATCTGAAAGGGGGATGTGGGACCATATTAAAGACATTTTGTCAACATTATACCTGTCTGTGCACTATAAATCTCTGTAACGTCATCTTAAATCTGAGTTGTTGGACACACTTGAGTGTGTAGACATCCTGAAATAAGCTTCGTAATCCAGTTTTGAAAAGCGGGTTTTCACACAGTTCATCTGAGTACAACACATTCTTAAATATTCTTTTTCCTACTGAACTTCATTAGTCTGTAATGATAGCTGTAGTAGTAACAGTTGTTGTCTCCAGTTTTTCTCTTAAGTTCATCCTCTGATTACGTTTGGCTTCATCTCGACTTTTACTCCCCAGTTCTTTATTGACTGACTCTCGTGAGTCAACTGGGTAACTACTGATCAGTTCAAGTTATATATTCCCTTCTTAATTATCTCTATCTGTATGACATGCCTAAACTTTACAGTATTATGTTGCTATTCCCCTTTTTGTCTGAATATTGTTTGCTGTGAACCTGAATAGTCAGCTTTAGACAGTAAAGTTGTTCACTCCAGTGCTTTTCTTAATATGCCAGTTATGTATACCTTGTGATTACTGAGGACTAATTTTTCTGTAGAAGGCGGCTGAGGCCATCTAATTTTTTACATGGTGATTAGGATAGCGCAAAGCATCACTTCAGTCAATCGAGTTATCTTAGTTTTTATTTCAGAGACTAATTTCTTGTCGTGGACGTTAGCGAATTCCCAGACTATATGGATTGCATTTGTGCACTAAGGCTCCATAGGTATGCTTTCATGTAAGATTTAGGTGTCACATGTGCACCTTATTTGAAACGGACTTATTTTCTACTAGAAGGAGGTTCAAAATAAGATTGTTTACTGGACACGCCGAACAGTGACATTACATTATTTACTGCTTTTCTCGCCTGAAGTCCACGCGTAAGCCCGTCTGACTCACCGGACACCAAGCATTGGCTTTAATATTGGTTTGAAAGTTAATTGACCAAAGGACGTGCGACAATGCATATATTTAGTCGGTATTTCCGCAAATTCTACTTCAGTAGAACAGTTTTATGGAGAATTTGCGGGATATTTCGCATGCTTAAGCCTATGATAATGTGTTAAAAATCCTATCCCGATTCATTAGGCACCATACTGTTAGTGTTACGTTTAGTGATAGACGGGTCTCCGTGGTCTTCACTTAAGTTACTCTCCTTTGACCTATGTTGACCGTCAAGCATTTGTTTTGGGTAAATTTTTCAGGTGAAAAAGTACAGTTCATTCCTCTTAATCAACTGAACTAAACGGTGAATTCAAAGTAATGATCATTTTGGATAAACATATTTATTCTGTTAATAGTATTTTGTAGCATCTATCAAGATTGCCCTGGTGCTTTCATAAGAAACAAAGTAAATTTTGAAATATTTTTGATCTACTCACATTTGTGGATATAGAGGTGACAGTATCATAAAATTCTGAGGTGTGTGCAGTGTAGTATATTTCAGATTCCAAGCCAAAATCAGACTGAAATTGCTTCAAACCTGAATATACTGCCCTATTTACCAGTACCAGCCTTCAGCAGTTCGAGAGGAATTCAACTATCTAGCACATCGAAATAGTAGGAAATGAATTCTGATTTTGAGAATTTAAGAGGCAGTAATACAAGTTTTAATACAAGATTTATGTCTCAGCTAAGAATGGGTTACCTGGACTTGGTAGTCAAGTTTACATATTTCGTCTATCCGACACGTCCACCGGTTAATATCCGCACCAGGTCTACCCTGTGTCTGCTCACAGTCGCTGGTAAGATGTTCTAGCAAAAGACTATCTGTAATCCTTACTTTTGTCGACAAGTTGATACATACTGGAAAGCGTACTTTCTGGTGTGTAGTTTGGCGAGACTAATTCTGTCTACATTTTGGGAAATCCAAGAAGAAGTCAAATTACTCTGTGTGTGTGTGTGTGTGTGCGTATGTCTACACACTTTCACCTGCCTACCAAACGTGAACAACAAGCATGATTGACCAAAACTCTTACATGTCGCTATGTGGACTTATTTCGAATCTTTGAGACGCACACGAGGTTCAAATGTAGTCGATCTCTTTAATTAACCTAATCCATTCGGTGAATCTTCGAAATGACCCCTACGCTTTATAGAAAATTCTCCAGCTGGTCCCGACGAACTTGCAGGCTTAGAGCTAATACTAGACCACAAATCTTTTCGGTTGTTAGTGCAGTGACGTGTGTATTTTGTCGTATGGAGTCCAGTCTCAAGTAGGAAGAAACTGAAGTGTTGAACTCCTTTACTGGTGACTAAGAAGCATATTAATCGAGATCTTACAATATACAACGCTCAAGTATCTGTGGGACGTCACATGCTCACAGAGTGGTAACTCACTTGTATATACGAAAAGCAGGAAAGATGAAAAGAATTCAGTCAATTTGCTTGCTTAACCGTTAGTTAGCATATCAGTCATCAGTTGTCCTTGTTGAAAATAGCAACATTTCGGTCACCTAGAACTAATAACTATGAATCTCATAATTTATTTTTTAGGAGTTATGAATTGCGGTCACTCTGTCAGCTTATTGAGTTCTTTGCCGCAGAGTCCTCAGCGTGTACAGTCAGTTACTGACCTTGACCATCTGAAACTACTCAGACGGAAGGTGGTTGAACTAATAAAGCATCAACCAGGATGTCAAATACTACTGAGCAAATTTATGTCTAGTTATCATGACTACTTTGGCGAACAATTCCGAGTAGCTGATTATGGCTTTGCTAAATTGCGCGAACTACTGAGCGCTTTGTCTGATGTTGTTCAGATTATCGGTTCGGGAAATATGAAGATGGTGACACTATCTCACCGTGTGCAAGTCCGACGGTTCACCAATGAACTGATCAAAGTGCTTAAATCTCAGCCGACAAAGTGTTGTCATTTATCTGATTATCCGACAATGTATGAACGCACTTACCGCAAAGTAAGTTACTTAATTATAAAATGTTTCTCCTTGGTTGTTAATAATCTGCTGAAGACACACTTCATAATTGACGCCAGAAGACTTGAAGTATGACGATAACGAAGTCCCCTATCAGACATCGTCAAAGGGGGAAGTAACAATGTTCTTACTCATTCACTCTAGCATGGAGTCGGTCCCCATTTACAGATGGTTCATACAGGACAAGGCCGAAATAAGTGGTGGTGAGCATCAACACTGAGTTGCGCTCACCCATACACTACAAGTGGATTTCTATAGATTTATATTCGAGACACTTTTGTACTGTTTCTTCAACAACTTCATGCAATTCTCTCTGTTGAAAGAAATCTGTAATCGAGTACACTGGAGACCTACACCTTATTTCTCAAGTGAAGAAAGAAACTTGTGGCTTTGATCATATTGTGAATAATAAGTATTTGGTCTGTCAGTTACGCCTGAGAGGTTCGCGCCGAAACAAGGAGAAAATCTGAGAAAACTCTGTGGGACTCCGTTAAGGGAAAATCATGTGCAGGTATTCCGGGGAATCCCGAAAACTTCGTATTCAACTTGTCAACTGAAGTCATAAGCTGAGGCAGATAGAAAGATAAGTGCTTTCACTAGGATTCAGGTTCTACATTCTGACGAAATTTACCAGCAAAATTGACGTTGAAACCCAACTCGAAAGTGTGCATCATCAACCGTCTGCATTGAAAGCAGTGGATGGCGAGAGACAAGGTTGGTTTAAGTCTCGACTTACCGATATTGTTAGTCAATATCGTAGATCACCAAATCTACATTATGCAGTTTTATCGAAAGATCATCCTGGTGCATTTATCGTTCTAGCTTTGTTGACGAATTCATACTGTGTCCTGCGGGAGACAAATTAAAGCATAGGATAGTTGACTGTGACTTCTTTACTAAAGTGGATCCAGAAAGCTCACTGACGGTTAGTGAATCTTGCACTCTACAAATTACACAGTTCGAGCTGAAGTTTCACCAGAGTTTCCTTTGGAAACCGAAATTACTGAGGTCAAGTTAGGCGACCTGCTTGATATCACAAATTGCAATCTAGAAAGGAAGTATAGATGTGTGACGGTGCACACTACTGGTTTATATGAGAGTAGGATACCACCAACACCTGTCAGTGGTGCTTACCAGTCAGACTGAAGTGATCTAGATAGTGGACGGCCATTTCGCTGTCGTGGGTCGAAGCTCATCAGCGATGTGAGCTGAAACAGCCAAATCAGTTCAAACCACCAGGGTACCACAATGACTTTACTTTGGCTTTCTCAACTGCTACTATTGATATCAAGGAGATAACATATCGTGAACTGCATAATTTCGGTTTCCATAGGGGACTGCAGCGAAATTTCACCTTGGAGTTTGAAATTTACAAACCGTAAATTTGACCAACAGCTACTGAGCCTTCTGTATTCAGTTAAGTGAAGGAGTCACCAGTTCTCACAAGAAGCCAGGCATAACTGTGGATGTGGTTGAATTGATATGGCTCTCTGAACTACTAAACACTGTTGGCTGATGTGAATGGCATCAAAATAAGTGTATGCAGTCATCCTTGTCACAGTTGAAAAATGTCTCGTCGACGCGTTTTACCAAAGCAGTGGAGCGTCTGGTGAAGTTTTGAATAGTCTATTTGCTTAGCAGTTCAGATATTGAATAGCCCTATGATAGTCGTTTCTAAAGGGTTCCCACAAGGATAGGACAGTTTACAAAATTGAGTGTGTCATAATTACCGACGATGAGCATCCATGTGAACTTTAAGAAAGCAGTCAATTATAGCTCATTTGCTTTAGATTACTTTTTGCCTATTAATGTTTCTCTGTTTAACAATTCATCTCTCTGTTATTGCACAATCATCACTGGTATTTCATTCTATATTTGTTAACAATTTCAATTGTTCACCATCTTCATAACTAGATATACTTACTACCTTTTAGGAGAAATACTCACACTGTATTCATTCCATCTTGTCTCAGTAATGTCGCATTATTATTTATTTATTATCATTTTTAGTCTTTATTATGTATTTCACAACTACTTTTCTTATATTGTGGTCATTCCAACTGACTTCAGTTAACTTGAAGAACACATCAGCCTCTGTTAATCTCACTTAAAACGCTATCATCATTCTCATTATAGTATTAATTATCATTATTATTATTATTACTGTTTTGATTATCTCTCATTTTGCACATTTCATTATATGCTCTAATTGAATTCATGCATTGGTTCGGTTTCTTCTCTTTAGTGTGATCAGTCATGCATGGTTTGCGTACATTGTAGTTATGAGAATTAACGTTTATATCGACGTCTTTTCTCAACATGACTTCAGCATCTTTTCTCATACTAAATGCTTTCACAATTTCAAAGCTGTATTCTAATCAGGTAGTGAATATGTTTGATGAAATGTTACCGACATATACTAGCTATTATTTACCAATCACATCTGTTGAATCTTATTTTTCTAAAATAGGAATTCTGTATAACAGATTATGGTGTCTGTTATCTTACTGATATGCTGTCGGAACTGTCTGACAATGTTGTGGAAGTAACTGGTTCGGGTTCGGACACAGTTGTGTCATTACCAAGACTCGTACAAACCAGTGAGGAAAGGTATCGCATCACAATGTTTGCGGATGAAGTGATCGATCTTCTCGGTCAAAGACCTCGTTGCCGACTGCCTATTAATAAATTTATTCCATCGTATTACCATCATTTTAGTCGACAGTGTCGAGTATCTGACTATGGCTTCACAAAACTAGCGGACCTTCTGGAGGCGATTTCCAGTGTAATCCAGGTAGAAAGTTTATTTAGTTTAAGAAGTTTTTGATTTTGTGTATACATCCTCATTCATACGACTCGAATGCATGTTGAAAATGTTTTTTCTTCTTCGTTTTTGTTCCCAGTGGGACATAGGACTTCAAGCTGAAGCTTCGAAATTTCAGTAGCAGCGGTGTTGATGATGTTTTCGGGGTGGGGTCGCTTGCCTGCGTCATGGCCAACCTTCCCTGTATATCGGTCCTGTTACCGGCTTGTCGAGGTGAATGAGTGAGTTGGCCGGTGATTGAAACCTGAACCACGCCATCAAAATGTTTCAAAAATGTGATGAATAATCCAACTGTAACTAGTGGTGGAGGGTGGAAATAAGTAAGCACTGACAAGGGTCAGGTAGTATGAAAGACACACAGAAAAAAGGATGTTAGTGAAAGAACTTGGAGATGAGTGTCCAAAATAAATTCTGTAATTGGCGGATGGATTAAATACAGAGTTGGTTAAGAAAACGAAGTTCCTAAAATGCTATACAAAAATCCACAAATAGTACTGGTAACACAGTAGTCGAACCTGGAACTATACCGAGGGTAGAAGGAGAGGATGGAGAATTTTACTCTGTGTGCACAAATCAGGGTTTTCCATCCGACTTGCTAAGGTCTCGAGTATTCAAAGTGTACGGAAGCTTTCCGTTTTCACGAGGCTTCTTTTGACTTTTTGGACGACTTTGAATGAATTCTGTTTACATATTGAGTGACCAGTGTTGAATATGTGTTCACTTAGAGCGCTCCTTATTGATCCACTGTTACCTTTACGTAGCCAAGCGGGATAGTGTTTTCTGATTCTTATAGATGAAACACGCATCGAATGACCCTGTATATCTTGCTCCACATGAGCAAGTGAATTCATAGACACACAATGAAGTGGAAAAAAGAAACTCTTCGCTGAATTATTCGTTTTGTAGTCGTGTGGTTATCGATTTTCAAACATTGCAGTCGAAATTATTGTCATCTCTAAAAGACAGTGTTTCAACCAACTTGACCAGTTGGTTGTTAAACACTGTTGACAGGAAGCTTACACAGTTAGTGTCCACTTCTTCTAGCTGAGCACTTTTACCAATCATCCATCTAGGTGAATGGAGTCCGAAGTTATTTAGAGCAATCAGAGACGATCAGAGATGACTATGAAATCGAATTTCTCTGGGTTGACGTCATAAAGAATAGACGTCAGAAATTCTGACGGATGTAAAAAGTTTCACATCTGGCATCCTTACTCTCTCATAGGCTTTCAAATGAAACGGAATGTTAGCCAGATTCTTTGCACTTAGCCTTATCTAGAGATGACTAAGATTCAGAGTCAAGTTAGCAGTTTAAGTAACAGTGAACATAGTGTATAATACGTTTATTATCGGAGTGCATGGTGATGGTAATATGTCTTATTGTACATTGAGATTTTATTGTTCTCCGTTCTACTGTTCAACTATAAGCCACGAAGTTCAAAGGTACAAAAGCCAGGGAGACCTCATGGATTGCATTATCACTAGAAAAGTAGTATTCCTCAGTTTCCGTGTGAACGCAGCATTGGCAAAAGTGAAATGTTATCTCATGGTGAAATGCTCGTCAAGTATGGGGTAGGTCTAGCTGACGCCCTCTTAGACCTCTCCAGGCTGGTAGTAAGCCTGTAATAGGTGAATGGCTAGGCTTCCGACTAGCTCCTCCACCAACAGAAACAACACTGTCGTTACTGAGACGTTAATTGTCGAAGTATTGAGCTCTGTTTTGTGCTCGGAAGGCAAGAAATGGAAGAGATCTTGTCATTTAGTGTTACCTCGATTTAGAAGGCTTGTTCTAATTCACTCACTCGCTATTTGTTAGCGTCATAAGACATGTATGATGGTGATAATGATAATAATAATAACAATGTGATTATTGCAAACAGTAATATCTGATATTATGTGGAATTGTCTGTGTGTAGTACAGTATCGCTTGTAATTTTCTTTTATGTTATATAGTAAGGGGACAGTTATTCCGTGGGCTAGTGTATTTTTCCCACGTACTGCATATACATACATACATGCCTTCAAATTGAAACGAAGTATCGTCTCTTAATACTTTCAAGATATTTAAAGTGTATGCTTACTTTGACAGATTAAGGAAGAAAGGAAAGAAAAATATATCAGCCTTCTGCCTGAAAAACACTTGCAAATTTTCGCGGAAAAACTTCTGGTCCTTCTGGAAGCGTCACCAGACAGAAGAATACCTATCAATGATCTGACAGATGTGTATGCAAGACATCACGGTTATGCTTTGTGTTTGGAGGATTTCAACGTGTTCTCATTGAAAGAGTTATTATCCAAGTTTCCACATCTATTCTATACTGAGGTACACCATTCACAAGAAATACAGAATACATCGAAACTGTCATCAGAAGATACACTAACTGAAAATATTGGAGGTGTCGAGCAACAGACCGGACGGAATCAAGGTAGTGGTCAAGTAGCAGATACGAAAGTGGGAAATACTGCAGCCATTGATTACCCCACTTCGAATTACAATGCTATTGAATATGTGTGCTTAGTTGATCGAACAGTGATCAAACATCTAGCACACAGGGTTATTTTTATATTGCAACAATATCAGCTAGGAGCTACGTCTCTTCTGTCGTTTTACGTACTGTTCCAATATCAGTTTAGAAATGAACCTATGTTGGATGTAATATTTGAAGAATTGGAAAGTATTGTGGAGGTAAGGCAAATTTTAACTCCACTAGACTGATTGGTTTATGTGGTTATGTCAGTTGATTTCTCACTGTCTTGTGAAGTTAGTATTAGAATTCTTGTAGAAGAAGTACGTATCTAATTTGACCTGGTTAACCACATCTAAGTGTGGAAGCGATGTCACGAAATAACTGAATTTGGATACACCGACTGTCAGTCTCCTGAGGAAAGTTAGCTGCGATAGAGGGGTGGGAAATCGGGGTAGAAGCAGTTTTCCTTTATTTTCCATTATGCAAAGGTGATCATAAATGCATTAAGGAGATACGTGAAACAGTCCGTTTATGTGGTTGCTCCTTTGAAGATAACTGCGTTAAAAACTATTCTATAGATGTATAGCTTGATGATGGTAATTAGTGAACAGTGAACCGTACACGTAACATCTTCCTCAGGTTCCACGGTTAGGATTAGAGTATGTAAAAATGTATGCGTGAGATATGCACTACTTATTCCCATCTGAGCATTAGTTACACTGAGATTGATTTACATGTGTTTTGTAATCTGAGAGAGGTGAAATTACTTTACTAGAGAGTACACGATAGCATTGAAAGACGTGCAAACACAGTGATAATACTGTTGTTTTTAGACCAGAATATGTAAACAGTCAACTATTGGCGTATGAAATGAGGCGTTTGTCTGAAATATTCAGTTAACCTAGTTCTTGTAAAATTTGGGAAGAATCCCTAAAAGCATGAACTGCTGACATTTTTCGAACTGGCTCTAACCATTGTTGTGACCATCTCTCCAGCACAGGCTAGCACTGCGAAACATGCGAAACAATGACAAAAGTTACTTTAGAACAGGAGTTGAATTGATTTGAAAAAAGTTTTCAGTGAATAGATTTCAAACCAAACTTTGTATACAGAAAGATAGTGTGTGTGTGTGTTCTTTCTTACATTCTGAATTCTGTTGGGTAACATTTCACTTAATTTTGATTTTCACTCAGTGAGTTCAACTCACTACTAATTTATCAAATTTGCTTATATTTGTGTGTGTGTGTGTGTGTGTCATAATTTTGCCTTTAGCTTCCTTCATATTATTTATAACATCAACTCTGCTCTTCGACCTTGTTCACTGGGTCGAATCGATTCTGTTTCTTGACAAAATCTGAACTCTGCTCCCACTCTTGTCTAACAATACAATACAATAAACAGTTGACCTTTTAACACTGAATAATTTGTCTACTTGCATCATTTCAGAATTATATTACACAAAATTTCTATGCATAACCTGAAGTCGTTATGAAAAAGATGGATTCAGTAATTATGTAACTTATACTTTGATACTGTTTAGAATGTGTGGTGGACCTTTCACTCGGTTAGCTCAGTTACCCAAATTCAAACAGAAAATAAAGTACCAAATCAGTTTAGTTACGGGAAGAATGTATTAAAGTTGGGTTACTTGGGTTTACAAAGATCCACAGTCCACAATAAACGTAATAGACTCCAGGTGCTGCGGGAAGACTGCTCCAGTACTAATTCTCCAATGTTGTCGTTGCCGGAGGTCGACCAAAGTACGTAGGAAGAACTATGGTGCTCCTGCAAAAATTTGAGATAGAAAGCAGGTGATTAAAATTGATCGACGGCAGTTGAGATGGTGGAGAAGACGGAGAGTCGAAGGCAGAACTATATTTCCCTTCAAAAACGAGGTAAAGTTCAAAGTACAGAGATTATGATTAAAACAAAGTGATGTACAATATGTTCATTTCTTACATAGTAGTAAAATTTGGATAAGTTTATTTTTGAGGACTCCACAGGGCTCCCCCTCTTAGAGGTCCGGAGGACCATCAGTACTTGTCCTCGTGGACGATTACATGAATATAAGCAATATAAATAAGGGACAATGTCAACAATAAGGATAACAAAAAAATAACAATAACAACAATAAGGATACAAAGTTAGATCAGGATGTATGGAATGCATCCGTGTCGTATAAAGTTTAGCACATACAAGCACATACAGGAATTTAAAAAAAAATCAAAACTTGTTATAATTTTAAATAAAAAATTTATGTACATAATAAACCATGACATGTTCGTTAACATTTGTGAAATTTCATATATAAATAGACATATACATATACTTGGTGAATGCGTGTGCTTGCAGTACAGTTGACGAACAGCAAATAATAATACTAATAAATATTAATGGTTACAATGGAATGAATCTCGACAACAATAGTAATGAGAAGAATGTCTAAATGAGGTTAACGTTTATGTCAGTCAATGAAATGAACATATCGGGCAGGTTTACAGATCTGCCGCCCGCTGCGTGTCTGTACAGGGGAAGTGTGAAGAGCGGGAGAGTTGGAGTTGAAATGACTTTCTGATTGTTCATTGGTGTCGGCGTTGCTAGTGTTTCATATTCGCTGTCGGTGTACGCTGGTTTAAGACGGTCGATAGAAACAGTCTCCGGTTTACCATGTTTGCTCAGCGTGAAGTATTTATCGGTGCGTTTAAGTACTAGAAAAGGACCTTCATATGGATGCTGTAAAGCTTTTCTAATGGCATCGACGCGAACAAATACAAATTTGCTAGTGAGCAGATTCTTATTAACTTGAACTTTCTGAAGTGATTGGCGAGGGGCTACTGGTCGAAGCTGAAGCATCTGCTGAGTAAGGCGGTTGGTGAAGTCGGAGATATTTACTTCAGTTGAATCATTAGACGGAACTAACTGACCAGGCAATGTGAGGGTAGTACCATACACAAGTTGAGCTGGTGTACATCCCAAATCTTCTTTTACAGTTGATCGGATACTGAGAAGAACTAATGGTAGGTGTTCACTCCACTTAGATGAGTCAGCTTGTGCCATAAGCGAGCTTTTTAGTTGTCGATGGAAACGTTCCACCAGACCATTCGCTGCAGGATGATAAGCTGTAGTGGAGATATGGTTCACTCCAAGGAGTCTCGTAAACTCTCGAAACAGAGTTGATTGAAATTGAGCTCCTCGGTCTGTCGTAATGGTGGAGAAGATGGAGAGTCGAAGGCAGAACTATATATTTATTCAAAACCCGAGGTAAAGTCAAAGTACAGAGTTTATGGTTAAAACAAAGTGATGTACAATATGTTCATTTCTTACATAGTAGTAAAATTTTGATAAGTTTATTTTTGAGGACTCCACAAATGTAGGCATTCGGAAATAATCGATGAGATGAAATGTGCTCGTATCATCTTGCAAATGTGTTCATGCTTTCCTTCTTTGAAACCCGTGATCTTTAAGCATTTTAAATTTGATTGTGGATGTTTTGTTAGAGATGCATATTTTATCCGCTTCGGTTTTAGTTCGAACTTTTTGTTTCGTAAGCGATTTCTAACTTCTACTTTCACTTTATGGTATTATTCGTTTTCCGGTTTTTGTTGAACAGCTTCGAAAGGATTTGCCCAATCCACGTGGCGCAGTGTCATTTGGCTCATCGAATGAAACAATTCCACATGACGTCATAAATCCTCCCCATTATAGACATACTCAACTTCAAAGCTATTCGTTTCAGAATGTGTGTAATGGTGACCACAGTACGGAAATTCCATCGGGAATACTACTGAATTACTTTATATCTCTTCGTCCACTGATCAGAATAGCCGGCGACTTGAAAGAGCTATTAAGTCACAATAATGGGAAGATCTTACTTGTACATTTGTGTACCATGTACCGAAAACATTTTGGTGTTCCGTTGAAACCAGAGAATTATAATTACCGATCGTTGGTAACCTTGTTAAAAGCGATGGATTTTGTGGTCTCAATGAGAGGTCGTGGTCTTCAGTGCACAGTGTGTCTATGCGAGGACTTTATGGGTGAGTCTGTATGTTTGCAGTAATTTTTGTAGACATTATTCATAGTCCCAGTTGTTTACATTTATTTCAGTGTAATGACTGACTGGCTTCGACATCCTTATCTATGTCACCTGTATTTGAAACGATGCAGCTCAGGCGATTGGGAGGGACAATTCGCTTCAGTCACCCTCTCTCGCTAGTGATTTGTGTCTGTTAATCTTGAATGGATGTCTCTATAATATCCATCGTTTCTGTGTTCATCCGATGTCCTGTATTCACTGCCTCTTCTGACGGCTTGTTGGTCTTTGTTTGTATATCTCTTAGTTCTGACCTGAATTCTCTACAATATTTACTTACATCTTCCATTGTCATTAGTAGGGTCCACCGTATACCTGTTTTCTCGCTTCCTTGAGGTATACTATGTGATCCGGTTCACTGTAATGAAGAAGACCACTGGTGACCCTAGACAGACATGTTGTATCACTGAGAAAGCTGTGATGAGCTTTATTTTGTGGATCACTTGGCATTTGGCATCAATATGTAGTTGCTGGACGAGGTTGATGGAAGTTTGTGGCACTTCACTCCGGAGTGTTGAGTTAGTGGCTAAATTACTTCGTGGTTGATACTGGTGTCGAGGGCCCTTTTACTGCACTGTTCCATTTTCTGCCTCACCATCTTTCTCTTCTCTTCCACCTTCTAGATATCCAGGATAAGCCATTTGGTGTCTTACTTATTCTTCTTCTTGTTCAAGGTATCTATGCAGGTTTTCTTTCACTTCGCTTTCAGAAAGTCCCACTGTTGTTCCACTCAGGTATCCTCGTGACATTGCTAAGTATCTGTGATGTTCCCTGAAGTGAAGGTATTCTGCATGACTTCACTCTTCAGTTTGTGTGTGTTGGACTTGGACTCTGGCTTGTCGATAGCTTCTATGAAGGCATCAAAAGTGATCTGAAAGGTTTCTCGTACAAGACAGTGAGTGATCTGAGCCTACACCTGCTCCCCTTCTCTATCTTGTGTCCAGTAGATGGAGATGATATTCATCTGAGCTTTAGTACGTCCACGTAGGTAAACTCAATTTGTATTGTGGATATCCTTGTGCTTGTACACACTCCCTCTAATGACCGATTTGTTGAAGTCACAGGTGTTTGCAAACAGCTCCTCGTCCTCATTCATTTCATCAGGTACCTGTAGACCCATGATGT